GGTGGGTCCGCAGGCAGCCGGTACCAGTCCGCCTCGAACCCGGGATGGGCAGGGGCCGAGGTCGGCCCTGGTACCTCGCCGGGCTCAGACCTGACGTGATAAGAGTATGACTGGCCAACGCTACCTCCTGGACCCTTCAGCATCGGGTATGCTGAGGGCATGGTGCATTTAGAATCATGTCGCACATCATCAAAACAAAGTGCCTGGCGCGATGCGGGCAATGGGAAGGGCATAGCCCCCCACCACCACTCAATGTCCTGAGCGTTACAAGCCCAGAAGACGCTAAACATAATATTGACATCCACTTGAGGCCTTCTGATCGACCATGTCCGCTGCGCGCGCCGGAACTCTGCATCGTCGTCGGAGTCGCCCACCGCCTGAGCCTGGGCTGCGCCCGCGCTGCCGTCCGCCGCCCGTGCCACAGCGTCCGCCGAGGGCGGCTGCGGCGGGCGGGCAGCATTCGCAGGCTCGGCAGGCCAAGCAGCAGCGCCGTCAGGGGCGGCAGCGGCAGGCGCTGCCACCTGCGACGCCTCGGCCTCCACGACTCGACGGCGCTTGCTCATCGCGCGGTCCTTGGAGGCCTGCTGCTGCCACCAGGGTCTTCGCCCGCTCGCGCACCGCCCCGAAGGCCTTCTGGACTGCTTCCTTGATGGAGGTCTCGAGGTCGGTCCTCCTCTCGGTGACCTCGTCCTTCTCGACCCGAGACAGCCCGACACCCGCCGACTCCAAGCCGCGGAGGTCATTGTCGAGGATCTCGAAGCTGTCCCCAGAGAAGCGGCTCGATGTCAAGACCGCGCTCCGCCACGCCGTCTCCTGCGCGCCCGGACGGGGGCGCGTCCGCCGCCAGAGCCCGCGCCGCCACATGGTACTCGGCCTCGCGCGTCTCGAAGTTCTGAAGGGCGACGACCGTGTCCGACTTGGCGTTCCTGAGCCGCACCTGCAGCTCGTCTGCCGCGCGCGCCTGGGCCTCGAGCCGCTGCTTGGCCCGGTGCACCGCGTGCTGGGCCTGCATTGGGCGAGGCGCCTCCTGCAGCCCTCGCACCAGCTGCTCGCAGTGCTCCGCGGTCTTCTTGTCCCCCATCTCCTCCAGCGCGCACGCCAGACTCTGCAGCTTCGGGGCGTCGCCTGCGGCGCACTGCCTGCCTCCCCCGGCCCCGCGCTTTGAAGTCCACCCCGACGACGGCAGCTGCAGACCCGCAGGCACGGGGGCGGACGCACCGCCCCGAGGAGCTCCTCCAGTGGATCCCGGCGCCGCCGCCTGGCCCCCTTTCCCTGCGGCGCCACTGCGGCCGCTCTGCGGCTGCAGGGCCCAGGCGCCAGCGGGGGCGCGAGGTGCGGAGGGAGCGGCGAAAGACAAGGGCTGGTGGCAACGCTTGCTTGCACCACGCGAACCAGCCGAGGTTCTTCTTGCATCCGCATGCTGGGCAGGGGCCTTTTTCTGAAGACCCCGTCCGACCACTCCCACTTACCCCGCGCCCTGCCCCGATCGATCCGCCAAGGAGCAGAAGGATAAGGAACCCTGAGCGCAGGCCTGTGGGGAGCGGAGGACATGGAATCGCGACGGCCTGATGGACGCTTCCCAACAAGCCTCGTGAAGGAAGATGACCGAGCCAATATTGGCCCGCAACAGCAATGCCGTTCTGAAGCTCGCTGCCGCAAGTTCCTCGTCCGAAGATTTAGAAACCAGAACGGCTCTCCTTCTCCTCCTCCTTCGCTCTCCTCCTCCTCCTCCTCCTCCTCCTCCTCCTCCTCCTCCTCCCCCTCCTCCTCCTCCTCCTCCTCCTCCTCCTCCTCCTCCTCCTCCTCCTCCTCCTCCTCCTCCTCCTCCTCCTCCTCCTCCTCCTCCTCCTCCTCCTCCTCCTCCTCCCCACCCCTCCTCCTCCTCCTCATCCTCCCTCTCCTCCTCCTCCTCCTCCTCCTCCTCCTCCTCCTCCTCCCCCTCCTCCTCCCCCTCCTCCTCCTCCTCCTTCTCCTCCTCCTCCTCCTCCTCTTCCTTTTCCTCCTTCTCCTCCTCGTCCTCCTCCTCCACGTCCTCCTCCTCCCCCTCCTCCGCCTCCTCCTCCTTGTCCCTCCTCCTCCTCCTCCTCCTCCTCCTCCTCCTCCTCTTCCTCCTTCTCCTCCTCCTCTTCCTCCTCCTCCTCCTCCTCATTGTCCTCCTCCTCCCTCCTCCTCCTCCTCCTCCTCCTTGTCCTCCTCCCCATCCTCCTCCTCCTCCTCCTCTTCCTCCTCCTCCTCCTTCTCCTCCTCCTGTCTCCTCCTCGTCCCCCTCCTCTTCTCCTCCTCCTCCTCCTCCTCCTCCTCCTCCTCCTCTTCCTTGTCCTCCTCCTCCTCCCTCCTCCTCCTCTCCTCCTCCTCCTCCTCCTCCCCTCCTCTCCTCCCCCTCCTTTTCGAGCTCGTCTTCATTTTCCTCTTCCTCCTCCTCCTCCTCCTCCTCCTCCTCCTCCTCCTCTTCCTTGTCCTCCTCCTCCTCCTCCTCCTCGTCCCTCCTCCTCCTCCTTTCCCTCCTCCTCCTCCGCTCCTCCTCCTCCTCCTCCTCTTCAGACGTGATGGTCACTGTGGAGCCGATCTTCATGTGGGCGCAGATGGTGTTCGACCAGAAGTTCCGTTTGGAGGTACTGGAGCGCGCGCGTAGGTTGCAGTCGTCAGGTTTGCCAGCGGCCACCACACCATGGAGCATTGTTGCGGGTCCTGCAGGTGCGGTGTTCCTCAACCTTCGCCGACGGGGATGGAGAGCTCATTCGGCATCCCACTGGGAAACGGGCAATGACATGATGTTAAGTTGAATGAGGTTGCGCCTACATGGGTGCGCACGGCAGCCAGGCGCAGCTACAGGTCAGCCAAATGGAAGGAGTAGGCCACCAAATCGGCACGTGCACCAGAGTTACCACCTGCTCCGCGAGATCCATGTGGCTACTGGACCGAGCCGTTTGCTGCCATGATGTACGCACCACCTAAGGCTACCACGTGGAGTTTGAAACCAAAGGCTAAGGGGGCGCGCTTAGGTCCACCACGATTGGGGCGCAGTGGTCACAACAGCAACTGTGCACCATGGGGTACACCGACTCACCAGTCTGCCTATGCTGTGGAGATAAGGGGGGGGACTCGCATAACAGAATTTGGAAGCGCCCCCACGACGACGACATGACGAGCGAAGCAGAGCCAAACGTCCTGTTCTTCACTCGTGCGTTGCGCCCTCTCGCCGTGCTTCCCGACATGCCCCAGTCCCATCGACACCCAGCGCTGGTGGTACTGCATGGGCGACATGACTATGGACATCACGGGCGTGGTCTACACAGACGGTTCCGCGATGAGCCCGCTGTACTGGCCCGACGCCAGCCCCGCAGGCTGGGGCATTGTCGTCCTCTGCGGCAGGCGCCTCAGAGGCATGGCCTTTGGGGCCCTTGCCAGGCCTGCAGCGGACGGCGCAGCGGGGGAGATCTACGCGGCGATCCGGGCTCTCGCTCCACGGGGTCCCCGAGGACGCCGATGATGAGCACCAGAGGCTGGCCAAGGCCGCGCGCTAGGCCAGCGCCTGGATCGGCAACAGTCAGAGAGAAATCGGCGACTAGAAGGACAGGGCGGCTACGGTCGGCAGGAGGCCTCGACGAGGCGGCCACGTCCAAGCCGCGAAGGGGCAGCCGTCGTCATGTGGCGCCCCAGAGATACAGAGTGAACAGTGCAGTCGGATCGTTGCAGTCGTGCGTGGATGGAGATGTGCCCACTGCCCGCGCTTCGCTCGATCGAGAAGGGGCCTTCGAAGGCTCAAGCTCCAGGTTTGCCCCGCGAGGGCGTTGTCGGCGCGGGCCCTCCAGCCAGACCCCGCTTCAGACAGGAAACGGGTTCTGGGATGTCAGGGAAAGTGCCGCAGACCTCGGGGGTCTGGCGCGGAGGCTTCTACTAGAGGGCAGCCGATGTCGGACCTAGCGGGCCCAGGGGCCCGGTCCGAGGGGAAGGAGATCCATCGAGCGGATCGTTACTGCCTGGAGGACGACGTAGGAACTGAGTTTCACAGTGGCTCTCAGACCTGGGTGCGCTCGAGCCTCCGCCTCCATCCTCTGCTGGGCCTCTCCCCCCGCCTCGCACCATTCTTCCCCGCGGGGCGGGCGCCGCCTGGGCTGGGTCGAGGACCCCCCCCCGAGGGCCCTGCGGAACCGCCAGAGGCCCCGCTCCCCTCCCCCTCCCCCTCCTCCTCCTCCTCCTCCTCCTCCTCCACCTTCTCCTCCTCTTCCTCCTCCTCCTCCTCCTCCTCCTCCTCCTCCTCCTCCTCCTCCTCCTCCTCCTCCTCCCCCTCCTCCTTCTCCTCCTCCTCCTCCTTCCCGCTCCCTCCTTGCGCCTCTCAGCTCGTCCGCCTCGCCCTCCTCGCCCCCCTCGCGCCGTCGCCCCCGCCGGGCCGGCGCCCCGCGCGCCTCGGCCGAGGGCGCGTTCTGCGGAGGACCTGGAGGGGCCTCGGCGGCCTCAGAGGGCCGCCACGGGCGCGGTGGACGTTACGGCCTCGCGGGGAGCAGCGCGCGTGGAAGGGCGCGCCGCCCCCTCGGGCCCACTCGGCGGCCCCGAGGGCTCTCTTGCCACGCTCGGGGAAGGTTCCTCCCGCGAGCGCCAGGGGGCACGCGCTGCATGTAACTGGCGTGGGGTGTTCTCGGCCAGGACGGCGCGAATTGTTTTGGGAATGTGATCCCGAGGCTGTCATTAGTAGTAATCCCAGAAGAAGTGAAGGCGGGACAACTTAATGAAAGGCATCCACCCCAAGGGAGGAGAGGCCCCTCCCCCCCCGCTTCCTCGCAGGCTCCAAGTCACGGACGACGCTCGCCAGTGGTTCGACGTAAGATCAGTAGCATGACATTACAACTCGTTGATGTGTTTCCTTTCTTCCTGGGTCGCATCGGCTTCGCCTCCGATCCGGGATTTTATTCCTCGGGGCCTCCCGTCGCGGTCGTGATGTTTCGGCTGGGCCTTGTGCGCCCTGGGCCCCCGAAATTGATGTTCGATCGCCTTCGTCTCACCTTTTGCCGCCGCTCCCATCCGTGCCCAATCCGACCCGGCGCGTCGCTCCATGGACTCGCGACTCCGCCGCCTCCTCTTCTTCCTCCTCTTTCTCCGTAGCCATGTTAGCTCAATATGTTTACACGGGAGGACTTCGGTTTCCCGAGCTCGTGCTCATCCTTCTTGCGAGGCCTGGTCCGCACCAGCTCCTCGCGTGCAGCCCTTCACTGGACGAGCACAGTCCTCAACTACGGGCCCCCTCAGGGTGTTTGTCAACGCCATGGCTAACCCTGCTCGCCAACAGCAGCAACGGATGGCATGGGCGAAAACATGGGCACGTCGGTGGCGCGTCAATTCGAAAAGCGAACGTTGGTGGAACTTTGCATCGGCAAAGTACAGCCGAGGCGACTGCGGCTGCAGCAAAGACGTTGCGTTCTTTGGTATCGAGACGTCACCAGCCCCACCGACATCCACCAGCGACAAAGACAAGGGTGAAGGCAAAGGCAAGGACAAGGGCATCGACAAATCTCCCACGGCGCGCGAGAAGGCACTCGAGAAGCAGGTAGAAAGGGTTACGGGAGAAGCTCGAAGCTCCATCTACTGCTGAATCGGGTGCCACGGAGGCCAAGTGCCCGCCCACGGCAGACGCCGACCATATCCGCTGCAAGAGTGAGTTGGGCCTTGCTGGGTCGATGTTCAAGCGATGCCCAAAGAGCCAGACACGGAGCTCGGCAGAGAGCAGCGTTTGAATTTGGAGCGTCATCGTGACTCGTGCACAGTCCGGCTGAGTGAGGCGCAGCCGCTCGGGCGGCGGGCGCACGACGTGGCCAATCCGAAAAAGCAGCTGCTGGAGAAGAAGCATCGCATCGGAAAGAATGTGGAGCAGGCGAGAGCAGCGGCAGTCGCTGCGAACGCTGCCGTCGAGGCTGCTGAGCAGGAGCTCAGCGAAGTATTGGAACAGCTGGTAGCAAAGGATGCCGAGGTCAAGCAGATCTTGGACACGGTGCCGAAGGTCCCCAAGGAAAAGGGTCTTGAAGCGCAGATTGTGGAGGTCATCGCGTCGGTCGAAAGTCTGAGCGAGTTGTTAAAAGCGAGGGAGCGTGGCGGAGATGCCGCGTCTGCTTTCACGGCGTCGCTTAAGTCCGTCATGGGTCAACTTCGACCCAGTGAGCAGGCCTGCGGACCAGCGCTGCAGCCCAGCCCGGCGCCCATCATCCTGAAGGGGAGCAGCACCAGCAGCAGCAGCCGCAGCAGAACCTGACTGGGCTCTCCTGGTGAGCATCCGATGTTTGCGATGAAAGAAGCTGGACACACGCGGGGGGCTACAGGACAGGCTTTGCTGTCGAGGTGGCGCAAGGCTCGCCCATGGCGGCGGAGGTAAAATGAGGCCGCCTCCGCTGGCGGAAGATGGCGGAAGCTGGCGGAAGGCCAGCGGGGATGCGCGGGGGCAGGACGTTGGGCTCGTTCCTCTGGCATGTCCTGGTGCAGGGTCATCCGCCTCGCGCGTCTCCGTGGACACACATCGGTGAATCATTCGGTGGCGCCGCGAGTGCGGTAGGCGTTCAGCTAGCCCTCCACGAAGCTTCCAGAGCCTGACGCAGTGCGGGGTAGTGTGCCCAAGAAGAAAGAAAGAAAGGCAGAAGCCGGCGGAAGCAAATCATGCGTCCCCAAGAGGTCCCAACTCGATTGGACCCAGGAACCCCGGAGTCGTGGCCATACGACGCGGCCAGCCTGGGCGGGAGCTGGACGCACACTGCGGCGGCCCGCGTCTTCAGCTCTCGGCGCCTCCACGGCGGAGATTTTCCAGCTTCCCGCACGCGCATCCTGCGAGCGGCCTCCACGCGCGGATCAAGGCCCCCTGAACCAGGGCTTGTTTTTTGTATGGAGATTCCACCGATAGAAAGCGAAACGTGGAGAGCGGTCCGGCCCAAGGCTGCAGCTGTCTCGGGCGCGCCAGGCTCTTTGTTTACGAGACAGTCCCCGTCGGGAGGGCCCTGAGCGACTCCCGCCAGTTGTGCGTTCAGCTTCCCCGCAAGGTTTTGGGGGGGTGTCCCGAGGACTTCCCGTGCCGGGGGCCCCTAAGCGCCGCGGTGACCACACCGTGTGGTGAGTCCGTGGGGATTCGGGGTGGCCTCGTTGTTTGGGACTTGGGTCGTTCTCCGAGGATGTGTCTCGGGCGACCCGGGCCTCCAGCATCCCTAAGCGGTGCGGTGACGGACCGTGCAGTGAGCTCTTTGGGGATTTCGAGGTCGCCGCACGGTCCGTCACCGCACCGCTTCGGGACCCCCACGGGGCCCAGGAGCAGCAAAGCCCACGCAAACGTGCGGGGCGAGGCGCTCGAGAGCCGACTCGGTTTAGCGCACCCCGTTGGGGACCCCCTTATCTTGATGGGCCCCGTGGCGGGGCCGCTGCGGGGCCAACTCGTTGGGAGCCTTCCGCGGGGGCTGGCCGCGGCCGGCCCGTCCGCGGGCGAGGGGCCCTCGCCGCCTCGAGGGCCGGGCCGGATGGGTGGGTGGGGTCGCGCACCAAGACGCTGGATGCTTGTTGTCAGGATACCCTGGGCTTCTCCGTTCCTGGCGATGTGCAGTGGCGTCCCCCGCCTAGGTAACAAATTGTTGCACCCTGGGCGCCGTGGACTTCAGGGCCAGGTTCCTTGCGAGGGTCTCTTGCGGCTGCGCTCCCCCTGTAAGGAATGAGAGTCGCGAAATCTGCTGCACGCAGCTGGTTTCGGCTCCGCCGCTGTTTTTCTGTGTCAGAGTGAGGGGGCCGAACGGTCATTCATTGTCCCTGGGCACGTGGCTGAATAGAGAATTTGTGGTGAGAGTTCTACTTGTTGCGTTGAATTCTCACTTCTGAAGAATAATTATTGTTGATCCCCCCCACCGGTGCATACTGTTGCTTCTCAATAAAAGTGTGCCCCTCGACGCTCGCACCCTGTTTTTTGACAAGGAAAGTCTTCCTGGTCCAACTGGCCCCCTGGCCCCCGGGTTGCAACAACAACGGCTCCCGCTTGAGACTTCCTTACAATTTAGCCAGGATCCCCGCTCCCGCCCGAGACCTCCTCGCATTTTATTCCGGCATCGTGCTCTCGCTTGGGACTTCCTTACAATTTATTGTGGAATCGCTCTCCCGGCGCTCTGGAGTCGCGCTCTCGCTGGAGACTTGCTTGCAACTTACTGAAGAATGGCCTTGCGTTGGAATTTCCTGCAATTTGCCCAAGCGCCGCGCTCCCGACACCCAGGCACCCAGGAGTCGCGGCCATTGTGGCCCCATGTGCATGCCCTTCGTGGCCCCGCTGTCGCCACGTGTGTCCCCCATCACTGTCCTACGTGGCCCAGTTGCTACCCTCAATGGCCCCATAGTTGCCTTCTGTGGCCCCGCATTATCTGCACTTCGTGGCCCCCGCTCGTTCCCGCTCTTCGTGGCCCCATACGCATTCCCTTCGTGTCCCCGCTGTCGCCCTTCGTGGCCTACTTCGTGCCCTTCGTGGCCCTGCTGTCGTTTTCTCTCGCTTTCGCTTTCGCTCGTCGTCGCCGTCGTCGTCGTCGCCGTCGTCTTCGACGTCGTCGTCGTCGTCGTCGTCGTGGTCGGTCCCCTGTCCGTCCCTCTTGGGGTCGGGTCGACGGTCCGCGGCCGCCCACCCGATCAGCGCTGCCGCTGGCCAGACCGACGGTCCGCGGCCGCCCCGCCGCTTGCCGGGGCCCGGTCTGCAGGGAAGGAAGGTATACCCCCCAAAAGGGGTTCGATCGAAGACAAAGAGGGCGGGTATCGAGGGTTTGGGAAATACGCGTTATTGGACACTCGAGCATATAAGGGCGAACAGTCTTAAAATTATTATTGTTGTTGTTGGTGGTGTTGTTGTTGGTGGTGGTGTTGTTGCTGCTGTTGTTGTTGCTGTTGTTGTTGATGTTGTTGGCGCTGTTGCCGAAAGGATAATTATTGCTGGTCTCCGGAAGCGGTTCCGCGCGCTCTCGCCTTGACGCGGGCTACATTTTCTCTGAAAGCGAGGCTCCCGCTCGAGCGTTGGCTTGAGCCTAAATGTGAGCCCTTGGAGACCCAGCTACGACAACAACGGCTCCCGCTCGATACTTCCTCACAATTTGTCCCGAGACGGGCCCCCGAACTCAGGAACGGCGCTCTCGCTCGAGACTTCATCGCGATTCGATTACATTGGCGGGGGCCCAGCCACGACGACAAGGGCTCCTGCTCGATATTTCCTCACGACTTACTCCGAGAGTCCCTGGCCAAGAAGGCTCCCGAACTCAGGAGCGGCGCTCTCGCTCGAGATTCTCCCGTATTTCAGGCAAGTTGGCGGAGGCCCGGACACGGCGACAAGGGTTCCCATTCGAAGACGAAGTGGGCGGTTATCGAGGGTTGGGGTATACGGGATGCAAGACACGCGAGCCAGTAAGAGCGAACAGTCTTAAAATGATTGTTGTTATGGTTGCTGCTGTTGTTGTTGAATGTTAACTATTAAACAAGTATTATTGTTGGACCCCCTCAGGCGCTTTGGCGCTCTCGCCTCGGCGCCGGCTACATTTTCATTGAACATGAGGCTCATGCTCGAGCGGTTTGGGGGGCGCCAAAACCGGCCCCCCAACAACAACAACGCTCCCGCTCGAGATTTATGTTTTGTACTTAGGGCAGGTGCTCTTGCTCGCCGCCGAAAGCCGCCGTCCCAAACAGCAAAACCAGCGCTACCGCTCAAGACTTCCTCCCGTGTCATTTTGGATTGGCGCGCTACTCTTTCTCTCATCGGTGCCGCCCCCAGCAACAACAACGCTCCCGCTCGAGACGTCCCCCCTTTTTTACTCAAGGCGGTGCTCCTCCTCGCCCCTGAAAACCGCCGTCCCGACAAAACCAGCGCTCCCGCCCGAGACCTGCTCCCGTTTTTGTTCGGTGGACTGGCGCCCTACTCTCTTTTGAATTGGTGCCGCCCCCAGCAAGAACAACGCTCCCGCTCGAGGCTTCCTTTTTTTTTTTCTCGGGACGGTGCTGCTGTTCCTCGCCGTCGACAGCCCTCGTCCCGACAAAACCACGGCTCCCGCTCGAGACGCCCTCCCTTCTTACGCAAGGCGGTGTTCCTCCTCGCCGCCGACAACTGCCGTCCCAACAAAACCAGCGCTCCCGCTCGAGACGTCTTTTTTGTCTTACGCTGGATTAGCGCCCGACTCTCTTCAGCATTGGCGCCGCTCCCAGGAACAACAGCGGCCCTGCTCAAGATTTCCTCCCTTTCTATTCAGGGCCATGTCCTTGCCTCGCCGCCGACAGCCCCCATCCCCACCAAGGCAGTCTTGTCGCTCGATATTTCCTTGTGCTTTACCCTCGGCTGGGGCTCCACTGGCGGTCTCGCATCGTCGCAGCAAGGCGCGGGCATGCGTTTCCGAGGCGGGATATGATGAAATTCATCGGAGGCGGTGTTTGCAAGACCTCATTGGGCGGGAGATCTGGGAATGGGAATAACGAACCCCGCTATAAAACAATAGTCCCCCATGATGGGAATGGTTATCATGATGGTCGCATGCTCCGTGTGGAAACATCGCGGATGAGGGTGAAATGAGTGTTGTTGTTGGTGGTGGTGTTGTTGTTGGCATCAACGCCTATGTGTGCCCCGTCCCCGGAGGGGAGGGGGGGCAGCAGACCAGCAGGCCAGCACCCACACCCACACCGACGCCGACGCCCACGCTCACGCCCGGGGGGGGGGCAGCAGACCAGCACCCACACCCTCACCGACGCCCACGCCCACGCCCACGCCTACGCCCACGCCCACGCCCACGCTCGCACCCACATCCACGCCCACGCCCACGCGCAAACCCACGCTAACGGCCAAGTCGGCCGCAGTCGTAGTCGTGGGGAGGGGGGAGGAGGGAGGAGGATGAAGAGGAGGGAGGAGGAGGAGGAGGAAGAAGAGGAACACTTATATATATATATATATATATATATATATATATATTATATACATACATACATACATACATACATACATACATACATACATACATATACATACACACATACATACATACATACATACATACACGATCTGTGTGTATGCACATATATACATGTATATACACATATGTGTGAAAGTGCATGGGCAGTACTCGGGATTACTGGTCCTGTGGATTACTATTCCCATGAATTACTAGTCCTAGGGATTCCTAGACCTAGGGATCATTAGTCCTACGGAGCAGTAGCCCTGGGGAGCACCTGTCCTAGGGATTACTAGTCCAAGGGATCACTAGCCCTAGGCATTACTAATCACAAGGTTTTCCAGTCCTAGGGAATACTGTTCCTAGAGAGTACTACTCCTAGGGACTACTAGCCCCTGGGGGTACTAATCCTAAGGAGCTCCACTCATAGGGAGTACTAGCCCTAGGGAGTGCTAGCCCTAGGGAGTACCAGTCGTAAGGACTACTACCCTTAGGGTGCACTAGTCCTAGGGAGTACTAGTCCTAGGGGGTACTCGTGCTACGGAGTACTAGCCCTAGGGAGTAGTAGTCCTGTTGATCCCAATTGATCCCAATTGATCCTTATTGGCCCCTATTGATTCCTACCGATTTAAATTGGTTCCTGTTGATTCCACTTGATTCCTATTGACCACTACTGATCCCTATTGATT